TTCTAATATTTTTCCCGAAGCAAATTCTACAGGAGGATTGTCAATGAGAGGCATGCAATCAGAAAGCATCTTCTGCAACTCTTCATCTTGTTTAGTTTCACATTCACTTAAGGTATCATCACAGAAAACTAGACCGAATACCAATTTTCCATAATCAAAAGGTTTACCTACAAAATCTTCGTAGTTCAGATCAATCTTGGCCAATATGTCCTAATACCAGTTTGAAATCTTGCGATTGCACCTATCTTCTTCAAGTAGATCCCAGTTTAGGTAAATTCCATCAGATGCAGAGAGGGGTCGGGTCTTCAAGCTGGAAATTTGTTCTCCAATAATGTCATGTAGATTTATCATCCTTTGTTGATCAGAGATAACAGGTACAGGCAGTGATTTAAATGTGTTATCTGTTAGCGCTATCTCATTGCTAACAATCAATTCATCAAAACTCTTGAAATTAAACTCTTTCTTAAACATACAGTCCTTTGTTATTAGATCATCCGGAGTTTTTGTTTTGTAGAAAGCTTCAAAGGCTTGCATTAGGTCTTCATCAAGGAACTCAAACTCCTGGAAGGTAACAAGATTATCTAACAAGTCACTATTAGTATGTGATGTCCTCTGCAGGCCAGTACTCCCATTAACATGTTCAGTTTCCAGTATATTCATAAAATCGCTTTCGGGAAACATATCTGATAACTCAAGGCTCTTCCTTGATTCACATTCATCTGAGAAAAATTCCATCATGCTATGCTTTATAGAACCCAGAAGTTCCTTGCCCTCTGCTATGGATTGACATTGCTCATCAAAATGTTGAGATCTGATATTTTCAAAATATGAGTCAACTACTCCTACCAAAGATATGCCAGTGGGAATTACCAAACCTCCCTCGTCCACTTCCAAAATAAGAAATATGTTTTGGTCAGAGCGAGGCAGTTGCTGAACAGAAATATGATCTTCTAGAGAATATGCCTTTTCCCCCATCAGGTACTCCGAAATCACATCTTCAACAAAAGATACTGATTCCAGAGCCTCGTAAGGGTACTGCTTTGATGGTTCAGGCTTCTTGAGCATTTCCTTCAAGGAAAACAGAAGAACTTGTTTTACATGACGCTTGGAGACAAATACATCAGTGGAATTTTAAAAAAGACATGAAATATTTCCTTGTAATCCTATTACTGTAAAACCTAGGTAAGATCAAATCCATTCTTATGCTTTAACATTCCATGCCGAATGATACAAAAAGTTATCAACATACCAAGGATAAAATTGAAACAGAATCTATTTAGCTCGTCCACTAATCGAATGAATTAGCTACAACAATTAAATAAATAAGTATGAAACCTGCGTGTATAAACTATACATAGTAACAAGCATTAAAATATCTTATACTTTGAAATCACATGATCAAAGCTTACAACAAGGGAGTAATGTTATAATTCCAATATAACTGACAGACTCAATTGCCATAACTCTAAGTAGTTCATATTCATACACAAACCAATAGCAACAACGCAATGTACAATAAAAACCAAATGATTACATGATTGTTGACAAATTACACCATTTTACCGGGCAATTTTCAACTTCTGGAGTTTGAGACAGCATTTGCATCCTCTCCGACNAAGTTCCTTGCCCTCTGCTATGGATTGACATTGCTCATCAAAATGTTGAGATCTGATATTTTCAAAATATGAGTCAACTACTCCTACCAAAGATATGCCAGTGGGAATTACCAAACCTCCCTCGTCCACTTCCAAAATAAGAAATATGTTTTGGTCAGAGCGAGGCAGTTGCTGAACAGAAATATGATCTTCTAGAGAATATGCCTTTTCCCCCATCAGGTACTCCGAAATCACATCTTCAACAAAAGATACTGATTCCAGAGCCTCGTAAGGGTACTGCTTTGATGGTTCAGGCTTCTTGAGCATTTCCTTCAAGGAAAACAGAAGAACTTGTTTTACATGACGCTTGGAGACAAATACATCAGTGGAATTTTAAAAAAGACATGAAATATTTCCTTGTAATCCTATTACTGTAAAACCTAGGTAAGATCAAATCCATTCTTATGCTTGAACATTCCATGCCGAATGATACAAAAAGTTATCAACATACCAAGGATAAAATTGAAACAGAATCTATTTAGCTCGTCCACTAATCGAATGAATTAGCTACAACAATTAAATAAATAAGTATGAAACCTGCGTGTATAAACTATACATAGTAACAAGCATTAAAATATCTTATACTTTGAAATCACATGATCAAAGCTTACAACAAGGGAGTAATGTTATAATTCCAATATAACTGACAGACTCAATTGCCATAACTCTAAGTAGTTCATATTCATACACAAACCAATAGCAACAACGCAATGTACAATAAAAACCAAATGATTACATGATTGTTGACAAATTACACCATTTTACCGGGCAATTTTCAACTTCTGGAGTTTGAGACAGCATTTGCATCCTCTCCGACTCAGTGACACATATAATTTCCTTTAAAATACGAAGAGACGAATGTGAAATAGAGAAGCGAAAGTAAAAGTTGAGTTAAATTGCTCAAAACAGAAAAATTTATCTTATAATACACATATAACCATAAAATTAGAAAGAAACACCTCACCAGGAACACGTCAAGCTCAGGTGTCTCAAATTGGATCGTCTCATAAACAACATCGTTCTTATCACCGAGCACAATAGTTTTACTCTCCTGCCAATAATATTGCTAAATATAACTAAATAAACAAAAATTGCCGCAAACAAGGCTTATTAATTAATTAAATATACATTCGAAGATTTAGTTTCAGTTGCGGAGCCACGATCTTCGAAGATAACCTCCGCCTCTTGCTGCAACGCAATCAAAACATTAAAAAAAAGCACGAGCACGCTCAGAAATGGTAAGATGCATATGTAAGTAAGTAATGCACATGGAATCACAATTTTCCGAGCAGAAACAAACGCAAGATCAAAATTCACAAAGCAATTTCGATTCTAGAAGCTTACCGCGGGATCAAAAGCAGTGAGATCTCGAGAGTGGATGCGGATTCGGTGTGGGAGGACAGCAGCGAGGAAGGCAGTTAGCGCAGCTTGTACGGGGAAGGGTTCAAGGTGGAGGGAGAGATTGAGGGGAGGATCAAAGCGGAGGTGGTGATGGACGGAGGAGGGCGCTGTCGGAGGGAGACGAGGGACAGGAAGGTAGAGGAAAGGAATGGTTTGTGATGGAGGAAGAGCGAAGTAGTCGTTGTTGAGAAAGCGAGTTCGCATCTTCTGAAACAGGTGCTAACGGACTGGGAAATTGAATTGAACTTTGGCGCCAAGTTTGTTATTTATAGCACGTGATATTTGGACTTCGGAGCGGTACAAGAACCGAATCATGATAGATTGCCTCCGATGACCCGAATTCTGGATCCGATGCTGTTGAGATAAGCCTAGACATTTTTGTGTTTATTTCTCGATTTCTCTTGTTGATATAGTTTTTTGTAAGCTAGGGAGGGTTTCTTTTAACTATATTAAATGTAAAATTTAATTTTCAATACCTTTTGTTTAATTTTTTTCTAAATATATTAATAGAACAAAAAGTGACTAACTAAGCTTCATGGTATGTTGGGTAGGGAAGAAAAAATAAACAGAGAAAGTAGAACAAAATAAAGAAAGAAAAAAGGAAAAACAATTAGCCGAAGGTAACTTTGTTTAACTTAAAAAGAAAATGGAAAATAAATAATATAAAATATATATTTTTTGTTATTTTATTTGCTTTTTATTATTTCTAATCTATAACAATGATAAAGGATTATTTTAAATCATGTATACATTTCTTCTTCGAAATAACAGTTTATTTATAGATTAATTATTATTTTCTATGAGACTAATGTAATTGTTAATGGAAAAGAAATTAAGTAATTTATTACAGAAATTTAAAGATATTAATAATCAATATATCTGAACATGTAGGTGACAAGTGTACTAAGATATATGGATATTTTAATTTTTGGCGCGCCTTCCTAACTGCGTGGGCCTTCACTATATTTAAGAGATGAAATCGTTGGACCGACTTGGATTTTATTAACTTTTTTTTTTTCAATAAAACTAATCTCAATTAAAATTTAAAAATACTTTTTCAAATATTAAATTTTTAAAGTAAGAGAATTAATTATTTTAAAAAAGAAGAAAGTTGCTTAATTACTATTGTATTAAATAAAAAATATTTTTTATTTATTAATGCAACATATATTACTACTAATATTTACATTAAAAAAGTTCAAAATAAACTTGTCTCTTCTTCATAGATAATTTATATCACTTAAAATAAAACTTTAAATCAAAATATAAATATATATTTTTCTTCTATCTCCTCTGTTATATCTAGATTTATCGTGTAACAATTAATTATCACACTTGATATACACAAGGGTAATTTATTGTTTTAAAAACTATTTTGCTTTTATCGGCGTGTATATCGATATAAATTTATTTTCATAATACTTTAAATTCTATATATTGATTATGTAAGTTAAATTTACAGAGTTGAATATTTAAATAAAAATGGTTCTCACAGTCCATAAAAATTATATTAAAACGATAACCACAAGTTTAATATTTATGGATTTTTCAGTTTTGTATTCACTCTTTCGGATGCTTCATGTCCAAGGTATAGGCGAATACCATTCGTGTCACCTCAGTGAATTAACGAAAAGAGAAATGAAACTACTTGAACTTTCCTCTACTGTCATGTGTTCTATGTAAAATACATCATTCTATTGACACAACTTGTAGTAACATCTATCTACTATCTAAAAACGGTTTGTTCTTACTTCAAAACCTCTCGCGGTGTATGAGAACGAGCCACGTGTCAAAGTTGGTCTACACATGTCAAGTGACAAAGGGGTGTCGGTTATGTCACACGTGTCTCCAGTTTGGAGACGACACAGCCATGCAAAGGTGGCAAAACACAGTTTCATGTTCTTCTTTATAAAAGCTTTGTTATTATAAACCTTTGTCATGAAACATTCCTCACCAAGTACACCAGAAAAAGTTATATTCAGTCATGGATTCAAGAGCAGTTCAAACTCAGGGGCACAAGAACGATCAACATCACCGCAATCCTCACAACGTTGGGCCGCAAGGAGGTACAAAAATCATTTATTTGGAATTTGAAAGTTTGATTTGATTAACCTGAGATATTACTTTCCGTATTGAAGTTTCTTTGGTTTATGCTTGAAATTTTGGATGTAGTGGCACATGGGGATGAACACAACCAGCATGACCATGAGAAGAAGACGGTTATGAAGAAAGTAAAACAAAAGGCCAAGAAAATTAAGGACTCCATCACAAAGCATGGTCATAATGACCATGAACGTGGCCACGAATATCACTATGAAGATCAGCATATCCCTGATGATCATGACTTGGATGAAGAAGATGACGACGATGTAGTCCACAGAGCACCGAGTAAGCTCTTTTGTAGCACATTTGAATTAATCATTATATACCTTTTGAACAATTTTATTTAGTAACAACAAGTTTTAAGATAAGATCTGACAATTTAGTATTTTTGAAGAAGATTGAAGCCTTATAATGAGAAAAATGAAGAAGAAAATGATTTATTGGGTTAGATAATGATTTACATGATTGTTCTGCAGTTTACGACAGTGCACCTGGTAGAGGTGCAGCACGAGGGAAAGTCGATGCTATTGGGAGAAGTGGAGTTAATTTAGGAGGTATAGCAGTTATGGGAGGAGAACCTCATCAGGAACCAAGAGTAGTGGTTGTTTCTCCAACTACTGGAGTTAATCAAAGCGGAGCCACTGAGCCAACTATGACATTTGTTGAGGTAGAGAAAGTAGTGCATACTAAGGTCAATCTGGAGGAACAAATTCACTTGGAGGAAGATCCTCATGCTCCACGAAGGGCACCTCAAGCATATGCTCCACCAAATCATCAAACCAAAGTCAAAGATCCAACTGGGGCAGGTAAGTTGGACCAAGATTTAACATGAACTTTATTTGTGTGCCATGAGATTAGGCATCTTCACATGCCTTGATTTGATTCTAATCTATTGTCATGCCATTTTTTTTAATGTCAAGGTGGAGCAAAAATTGACATTACCCCAGTTGAGAAATCTTTCTCCAGGATGACTATTCTTTATGAGCCAAACCAAGACCAACCAAACCTCTTTCCAACTGTTACTGAAACTCACCACCCTTCTGCTGGAAGCCACTCCCAAATTGCACCAGAGCTGTCTAGTGCAACTAATTACCCATCTATTCAGAGCCATGGCCAACACTTGCCAGAACTTTCTGGTGAAGTTAAAACCAAATACCCCCATAGTCATGGCCAGTTTACACCAGTGTTGTCCAAACCAACCAAAACTCACTACCCTGAAGCCCAAAGCCATGAACAATACTTGTCACAACAATCCAGTGCTACAAAAACTCAATACCCTTCTTCTGGAAGACATGATCAGTTTACACCGGTGTCATCTACTGGACATAATATTCAGCACCCGTCTACCAAATTCCATGGACAACACTTGCCACAACAATCCAGTACTACAAAAACTCAACACCCTTCATCTGGAAGCCATGATCAGTTTACACCAGTGTCTTCTACCGGACCTAACATTCAACACCCTTCGACCAAAATCCATGATCAACACTTGCCTCAACAATTCAGTGCTACAAAATCTCACTACCCTTCATCTGGAAGCCATGATCAGTTTACACCAGTGTCATCTACTGAACCTAATATTCAGCACCCTTCTACCAATTTCCATGACCAACACTTGCCACAACAATCCAGTGCTACAAAGACTCAATACCATTCATCTGGAAGACATCATCAGTTCACACCAGTGTCTACTACCGGACCTAATACTCAGCACCCTTCGACCAATTTCCATGACCAACATTTGCCACAACAATCCAGTGCTACAAAGACTCAATACCATTCATCTGGAAGCCATGATCAGTTCACTCCAGTGTCTACTACCGGACCTAATATTCAGCATCCTTCGACCAATTTCCATGACCAACACTTGCCTCAACAATTCGGTGCTACAAAAACTCATTCCCCTTCATCTGAAAGCCATGATCAGTTTACCCCAGTGTCTTCTACCGGACCTAATATTCAGCACCCTTCTACCAATTTCCATGACCAACACTTGCCACAACTATCCAGTGCTACAAAGACTCAATACCCTTCATCTGGAAGCCATGATCAGTTCATACCAGTGTCTTCTACCGGACCTAATATTCAGCACCCTTCGACCAAAATCCATGACCAACACTTGCCTCAACAATTCAGTACTACAAAAACTCATTCCCCTTCATCTGGAAGCCATGATCAGTTTACACCAGTGTCTTCTACCGGACCTAATATTCAACCCCCTTCGACCAAAATTCATGACCAACACTTGCCTCAACAACTCAATGCTACAAAAACCCCGTACCCTTCATCTAGAAGCCATGATCAGTTTACACCAGTGGCATCTACTGAACCTAATATGCAACACTCTTCTACCAGAACTCATGACCAGCACTTGTCACAGCAATTTGATGAAACAAAACATCAGTACCCTTCAACGGGAAGACATGTTCAGTTCACACCAGAATTCTCTACCGAACCTAATGTTCAGTCCCATTACCCCAAAACCCATGATCAATACCCTTCATCTGTACACCATGACCAGTACCCTTCTACTGCGATCCATGACCGACACTTGCCACAGGAATCTAGTCCAGGTACGAAAAATACCCAGTATCCTTCATCTGGAAGCCACGATCAATTTCTACCAGAATTTTCAACTCAAACCAGAACCCCACAAGCCTACAACACCACACATATGGAGGAATCCCAATACGGATCAATGGAGAAACCATCAAATGAGAGCAGTTACACAGATAAAATCTCATCAGCAACAGCTTCAATAGCTGATACAGCCGTCACTGCTAAAAATGCTGTAGCTTCAAAACTTGGATATGGCCACCGAAATGAGACCGAAGCAACTCGAGCACAGATGCAAGAGAACATAAGCAACGAAGAACCATCAACAGTCTCATTAGCTACAGCCGCAATAGCTGATAAAGCCGTCGCTGCCAAAAACACAGTAGCTTCCAAGCTCGGATATGGCCACCGAAATGAGACCGAAGCAACTCGAGCACAGATGCAAGAGAACATAAGCAACGAAGAACCATCAACAGTCTCATTAGCTACAGCCGCAATAGCTGATAAAGCCGTCGCTGCCAAAAACACAGTAGCTTCCAAGCTCGGATATGGCCACCGAAATGAGACCGAAGCAACTCGAGCACAGATGCAAGAGAACATAAGCAACGAAGAACCATCAACAGTCTCATTAGCTACAGCCGCAATAGCTGATAAAGCCGTCGCTGCCAAAAACACAGTAACTTCCAAGCTTGGATATGGTGCCGACACCGAAACAACTCAAACAAACACAAGCAGTGAAAGACCATCAACAATCTCTTCAGCAACCACTGCAATAGCTGATAAAGCTGTCACTGCCAAGAATGCCGTTGCTTCAAAGCTTGGATATGGTCCTGAAACAACTCATCGGGAAGAAGAAAAACAGTCGACAATATCTGCGGCAACCTCTGCAATAGCTGATAAAGCTGTCACTGCCAAAAACACCGTAGCTTCAAAGCTCGGATATGGTCCTGAAACGACTCAACGTGAAGAACAAAAACCATCCGCAATCTCTTCAGCAACCTCGGCTATAGCTGACACAGCTGTCTCAGCCAAAAACACCGTTGCCTCCAAGCTCGGGTATGGTAAGCATCAAGAAGAAAAACCATCAACAGTCTCTGCAGCCACCTCTGCGATAGCTGATAAAGCTGCCTCAGCCAAGAACACAGTAGCTTCAAAGCTTGGATACGGTGCCAACTCAGAAACAACACAAACAAAGAACTACCAAGAAAATACAAGCAATGAGCAGCCATCAACAATTTCTTTAGCAACCTCTGCAGTAGCTGATAAAGCTATATCAGCCAAAAACACCGTAGCTTCCAAGCTCGGTTTCGGTGACACCACAACAGCACATGAAGAGAAGAGAAGAGAGCATGCTGCTGCACCAACTGAATATGGAAAGAGTGTTGCTCAGTCTCTGACAGAGAACCTAGGTCCAGTTTATGGAAAGAGTGGTGTGAAATCCAATGTTTCAGGTGAAAATGCTAGTGTAGTTGTAGAACAAGACAAGGGTGTTTCTATGAGGGACTATTTGGCGGACAAGCTGAGGCCTACACCTGAAGACAGGGCTCTCTCTGAAGTGATATCAGAGACTTTACATAAGAAGGAGCCAGTGGAGGTCACTGAGGAGGGTGTGAAAAAAGTGATTTCTGATGCAGTGCATAAGAGAGAGGATGACCCTAAGAGAAGAGTAGACCAACAGATACCAGTATGGAAGGTAACAGAATCAGAGGAAGTGAAAAGAAGGTTAGGAAGTGAAGATGAAGAAACTGAGAGAAGGTACCAAGAGCTGTATCTGAAGAGTCCAGGGACAGGTGTGGTTGATAAGCTTAAGGGAATGGTTGGGTCATTGATTACCAATCCAGTGGAGAACCAATCCTTACAAGGTAATGATCATTAGTGTTTGTTTTCATGATGAATCTCTCCAACATGGTTTTCTATATTATGATGATATTTTTGCTGATTTTACTTTCTCATTACTGTATTATGTTAAATATTCCGTTTTGCTGTGGTTGCATGTGGACAAAGATTCCTATACTACGAATTATGAGACAAAAGTGGAACATCTTCACCAAGGTGGAACTGAAAGAAGACTACAGGAGTCATCTAATTGAAGAATCTTCTGATTGTGAATTTGTCTAGATTTATGTTATTGTTGTTTGTCTGCTACCTGTGTAATGTGTCTGGTTCTTTCTTTCAAGAAAGTCTGACGTGAGTCACTGATAATTTATTTTCATGTTTCTTTATTATGTATATGATGCTTTTGAGTCGGTAATGTTATATGTCACTGCTAGTGTGTTACTGTGTTAATAAAAATATTTTGTAATAAATTGCGTTCTTTAAATATTCAAAATTTGTTTTCAAATTTATTTACTCATTCCAAGTACCAGGCTAATGCTAAAAGAATTTGACTTCTTTTTTATATCTTTTAATAATAAGATTTCAAACTGAGGTTTTGATAAATGTGGCTAATACATAAATTGTGAAATATGTGTTTTATCCATGGAATATGGAATAAACAGTATATGAATGATAATATTTATCTATTTTGTACGTTTGTTTTTATTAATCAAATCAAATCTTTCATAGTTTTTATTTTTACATTATATTTCTTTTTGTATTTTAGTTAGTTTATGTAGGTTTCATCTTTTATTTTTACATGTAATTGTTAGTGTTAAGTGCTATTTATATTTAATTTAATTTTTATATATGTTTTATTATTTAATTCATTCTCAATTTATTGTTTAAATCAGATTAAAATTAATTTTTTAATCAAATTTATTATTTGTATTTTACTTTAACATATTAAACTAAATAATATATTAAATTACTTTATTATATTAATATTAATAATAATAATAATAAAATAATAAAATTTAATTTGCACGTATTAATTATTTAAATTATATATTTTTACTTTTTTAATTACATAATAAAATTTATTTTCATTTTAAATTTTATTACTTTTAAGTCAAATAAATATTTATATTTTATGCTTTATTTTATTTTAAATCAGACAATATTTTTTTATGTATGATATAAATATTATTATATTTATTAACTAAATTTAAGTTTCATTTAGAAAAGGAATAAATATTTAGAACTATTATATTATTAATTCATATATTTATAAGATTAAAAGTATAATAATATTTAATAACAATTTCATAAATATTTAATGAGATAAAAAGTGAATTTTGATATGAATATCAATAAAGGACTTAATTGATATTATTTGAAACTATTCATTGGAACGAAATGAGTAATAAATATTATTTTTATCTTTTATTTTTGAAATACATAAATTTTGATATATTATATAAACTTGTAATGGTTTAATTATTTCCGATATCGGATATCGTCTCAGAAAGGTTTTGGTATTCTAAAGACCTTTCGTGCTTAAAAAAATGGTTTTGTTTTATTTATATATTTAAAAATGTTTTTATTTTAGAATAACATATTAGTAGTTAGTTTTATTTAATTTCATTATTGTCTGGGTGTGGAATTTGGGATAATTAGGAGAATAATTGGGATTTGAAAGAATTCCTAAATTTGAAGAAATCTTAACGAGAGTGAGGATCGTCTTCGAGTTTGTTGAACTTGTTATTGAAGGGTGTTTTGGTCGCAGGTTGGGTGGTGAACGTAGTTGTTCGAAGACGATATTGAAGGAGCATTCTTATTGTGCACCAAGCTTTCTGTTTCCTTCACACTTCAAGTATGTGCCCCTTTCCTTTTCCGCAACATCATTGCACCATTTGAAGTAGTTGTAACCACCCTCTTCAGCACCACTTTGTATAAACAACATTCTCTTCTCAGAAACACTTCCACATAATACAAACGTGAAATAAATCATACCTTATACTTCGAGTATCCCCAAAATTGTTGACCACGATTCTTCAAAGTTTGAACCATTACGATGAACACACATTACGACGAGAACTGGTAATTATTAAATCGATTCATTCAAAGTAAAGGTTAAGTCGAGCTCACCTGCACCAAATGTTGAGACAGAATAAGATTGGATCAAAAGTCATGACAAGTCAACCTAAGTAAGAGGGTTGAATTGAGCATAAGAGTTGAGTCTAGTCGATTTGGGTAAAATATTTGACCCTAGTCAACTTAAGTTAAAGGGTCGAGACGACTCGACATAGGTCAAAGGTCTAGTGTCCAATCATTATAATGTTGAGCCAAATCGTCAAGGGGTTTTTATTTTATTTTGGTTAGAAACATTAACTATATTTGTAGTACACGGTATCTTGTCCGGGTAGAAAATCGAACAAGATACTAGATAGCTGACTATAGGTGATCAATATAGACAACCATTGAAATAATTAAAGGCTAGTTAATGAAAAATAACGGTCATTAATGGATGATTAACANCAGATGCAAGAGAACATAAGCAACGAAGAACCATCAACAGTCTCATTAGCTACAGCCGCAATAGCTGATAAAGCCGTCGCTGCCAAAAACACAGTAACTTCCAAGCTTGGATATGGTGCCGACACCGAAACAACTCAAACAAACACAAGCAGTGAAAGACCATCAACAATCTCTTCAGCAACCACTGCAATAGCTGATAAAGCTGTCACTGCCAAGAATGCCGTTGCTTCAAAGCTTGGATATGGTCCTGAAACAACTCATCGGGAAGAAGAAAAACAGTCGACAATATCTGCGGCAACCTCTGCAATAGCTGATAAAGCTGTCACTGCCAAAAACACCGTAGCTTCAAAGCTCGGATATGGTCCTGAAACGACTCAACGTGAAGAACAAAAACCATCCGCAATCTCTTCAGCAACCTCGGCTATAGCTGACACAGCTGTCTCAGCCAAAAACACCGTTGCCTCCAAGCTCGGGTATGGTAAGCATCAAGAAGAAAAACCATCAACAGTCTCTGCAGCCACCTCTGCGATAGCTGATAAAGCTGCCTCAGCCAAGAACACAGTAGCTTCAAAGCTTGGATACGGTGCCAACTCAGAAACAACACAAACAAAGAACTACCAAGAAAATACAAGCAATGAGCAGCCATCAACAATTTCTTTAGCAACCTCTGCAGTAGCTGATAAAGCTATATCAGCCAAAAACACCGTAGCTTCCAAGCTCGGTTTCGGTGACACCACAACAGCACATGAAGAGAAGAGAAGAGAGCATGCTGCTGCACCAACTGAATATGGAAAGAGTGTTGCTCAGTCTCTGACAGAGAACCTAGGTCCAGTTTATGGAAAGAGTGGTGTGAAATCCAATGTTTCAGGTGAAAATGCTAGTGTAGTTGTAGAACAAGACAAGGGTGTTTCTATGAGGGACTATTTGGCGGACAAGCTGAGGCCTACACCTGAAGACAGGGCTCTCTCTGAAGTGATATCAGAGACTTTACATAAGAAGGAGCCAGTGGAGGTCACTGAGGAGGGTGTGAAAAAAGTGATTTCTGATGCAGTGCATAAGAGAGAGGATGACCCTAAGAGAAGAGTAGACCAACAGATACCAGTATGGAAGGTAACAGAATCAGAGGAAGTGAAAAGAAGGTTAGGAAGTGAAGATGAAGAAACTGAGAGAAGGTACCAAGAGCTGTATCTGAAGAGTCCAGGGACAGGTGTGGTTGATAAGCTTAAGGGAATGGTTGGGTCATTGATTACCAATCCAGTGGAGAACCAATCCTTACAAGGTAATGATCATTAGTGTTTGTTTTCATGATGAATCTCTCCAACATGGTTTTCTATATTATGATGATATTTTTGCTGATTTTACTTTCTCATTACTGTATTATGTTAAATATTCCGTTTTGCTGTGGTTGCATGTGGACAAAGATTCCTATACTACGAATTATGAGACAAAAGTGGAACATCTTCACCAAGGTGGAACTGAAAGAAGACTACAGGAGTCATCTAATTGAAGAATCTTCTGATTGTGAATTTGTCTAGATTTATGTTATTGTTGTTTGTCTGCTACCTGTGTAATGTGTCTGGTTCTTTCTTTCAAGAAAGTCTGACGTGAGTCACTGATAATTTATTTTCATGTTTCTTTATTATGTATATGATGCTTTTGAGTCGGTAATGTTATATGTCACTGCTAGTGTGTTACTGTGTTAATAAAAATATTTTGTAATAAATTGCGTTCTTTAAATATTCAAAATTTGTTTTCAAATTTATTTACTCATTCCAAGTACCAGGCTAATGCTAAAAGAATTTGACTTCTTTTTTATATCTTTTAATAATAAGATTTCAAACTGAGGTTTTGATAAATGTGGCTAATACATAAATTGTGAAATATGTGTTTTATCCATGGAATATGGAATAAACAGTATATGAATGATAATATTTATCTATTTTGTACGTTTGTTTTTATTAATCAAATCAAATCTTTCATAGTTTTTATTTTTACATTATATTTCTTTTTGTATTTTAGTTAGTTTATGTAGGTTTCATCTTTTATTTTTACATGTAATTGTTAGTGTTAAGTGCTATTTATATTTAATTTAATTTTTATATATGTTTTATTATTTAATTCATTCTCAATTTATTGTTTAAATCAGATTAAAATTAATTTTTTAATCAAATTTATTATTTGTATTTTACTTTAACATATTAAACTAAATAATATATTAAATTACTTTATTATATTAATATTAATAATAATAATAATAAAATAATAAAATTTAATTTGCACGTATTAATTATTTAAATTATATATTTTTACTTTTTTAATTACATAATAAAATTTATTTTCATTTTAAATTTTATTACTTTTAAGTCAAATAAATATTTATATTTTATGCTTTATTTTATTTTAAATCAGACAATATTTTTTTATGTATGATATAAATATTATTATATTTATTAACTAAATTTAAGTTTCATTTAGAAAAGGAATAAATATTTAGAACTATTATATTATTAATTCATATATTTATAAGATTAAAAGTATAATAATATTTAATAACAATTTCATAAATATTTAATGAGATAAAAAGTGAATTTTGATATGAATATCAATAAAGGACTTAATTGATATTATTTGAAACTATTCATTGGAAAGAAATGAGTAATAAATATTATTTTTATCTTTTATTTTTGAAATACATAAATTTTGATATATTATATAAACTTGTAATGGTTTAATTATTTCCGATATCGGATATCGTCTCAGAAAGGTTTTGGTATTCTAAAGACCTTTCGTGCTTAAAAAAATGGTTTTGTTTTATTTATATATTTAAAAATGTTTTTATTTTAGAATAACATATTAGTAGTTAGTTTTATTTAATTTCATTATTGTCTGGGTGTGGAATTTGGGATAATTAGGAGAATAATTGGGATTTGAAAGAATTCCTAAATTTGAAGAAATCTTAACGAGAGTGAGGATCGTCTTCGAGTTTGTTGAACTTGTTATTGAAGGGTGTTTTGGTCGCAGGTTGGGTGGTGAACGTAGTTGTTCGAAGACGATATTGAAGGAGCATTCTTATTGTGCACCAAGCTTTCTGTTTCCTTCACACTTCAAGTATGTGCCCCTTTCCTTTTCCGCAACATCATTGCACCATTTGAAGTAGTTGTAACCACCCTCTTCAGCACCACTTTGTATAAACAACATTCTCTTCTCAGAAACACTTCCACATAATACAAACGTGAAATAAATCATACCTTATACTTCGAGTATCCCCAAAATTGTTGACCACGATTCTTCAAAGTTTGAACCATTACGATGAACACACATTACGACGAGAACTGGTAATTATTAAATCGATTCATTCAAAGTAAAGGTTAAGTCGAGCTCACCTGCACCAAATGTTGAGACAGAATAAGATTGGATCAAAAGTCATGACAAGTCAACCTAAGTAAGAGGGTTGAATTGAGCATAAGAGTTGAGTCTAGTCGATTTGGGTAAAATATTTGACCCTAGTCAACTTAAGTTAAAGGGTCGAGACGACTCGACATAGGTCAAAGGTCTAGTGTCCAATCATTATAATGTTGAGCCAAATCGTCAAGGGGTTTTTATTTTATTTTGGTTAGAAACATTAACTATATTTGTAGTACACGGTATCTTGTCCGGGTAGAAAATCGAACAAGATACTAGATAGCTGACTATAGGTGATCAATATAGACAACCATTGAAATAATTAAAGGCTAGTTAATGAAAAATAACGGTCATTAATGGATGATTAACAAGAATTAATAGTTAGTTAATTGGTCTGATTTTTTAATTGCTACCATAAGCTTTATAAATACAAGTTTATGTTGAGGGAAAAGACACTTTTTATAACTTAATTCTTTTAAATCATTTTGAGAAACATATTTAACCTGAGTGTTTTTTGTATGTCAACCACCAATACACCTATTAGTTTTAGAGAAATAGTTAGAAAAAGCGGACGATCGAGATTTGGAGCACAAATGAAGTTAAAGAAGTTGATCCTGGTTCCTATACTACAGAAATAATATATATTATTTTTATTTTATTTTCTGATTAAACTATTAATTATTAATTGAAATTCTTATTATTAGTATAATTTGTATTTCGTAATATATAAGTTAGTTTTAATCTATAACAACGAATTAGTTTCAATTCATTTTTATTTGAATGAAATTATTATTAAATAAATACCTATAATTTCCAATTTTATTATTTTTTCTAAAAATAAATTAAAATTATTATTACAATTTGTTTTATTATTTAATTTTGGTAATATTAATTATGTTTACGATTTTTATTTTACTTCCTGCTTATATTATTAACTATTAATTGATTTATTATCAATAATAAAATTAATACCTAGTACTATATAAATTAGATTTAATCCAGGAAATTATTTTTAATCTAGTTTTATTTGAATGAAATTATTATTAAATGCGTACCTATTAATTCTATTTTTATTATATTTTATTTTCTAAAATTGAATTAAAATTATTATTACAATTTATTTTATTACTTAATTATTTTCTTTTGGTTGGAAATTGTACCTGTATATTACTATTGTTATTTATTTCATGATTAAACAATTAATTATTAATTGAAATTATTATTGTCAGCATAATTAATATTTGGTAATATATAAGTTAGTTTTAATCTTTTAATCTAGTTTTATTTTAATGAAATTATAATTAATACATATTAATTCGATTTTTATTATATATATTTCTAAAATTAAATTAAAACTATTATTACCAATTATTTTATTAGTTAATTATTTTTTTAGTTGGAAATACAATATTTTCAATTTTAATTTTATTTCCTAATTATATTTTTAATTATTAGTTGAAATTATTTATGCACGTAATTAATAAGATATGTAATCTACTTTAATGTAGAAAGATGTTCTTGTGTCAATAAAAGTACATGATCACATATAAATCTAATTTTAGTATTATAAAACTAATAAAATTAGACATTTTATAATACTATTCAAAATAAATAATCTAGAGTATAAAATTTCAGCTTCCACAAAATTTAGAAAATTATTTTCTTACATATAAATTAAATATAATTGAATCAAAAATATATAGTGGAAAAAGTAATCAATTCAATTGGGTAAATATGCAAAAAGTTACACATCAAACAACAAACAAATATCAAAGTAAGTTTAAACTATGAGAATCTTATAACTAATTTAGCTTATAACCAATTTAGCAATTCTATACAGCACAGACCAAAACGAGCAATAATTCAAACTCCAATTTTATCACATTAAAATTACAGCCAACAATTTAAATACAAAACCATATGCAAAAACATTGACATTAGTTTCCCTCGCCTAAATTGAATGTTCTTAAGATCATCCAAGCTTTCTCACAGCTTCCATCTAAGAAATCCTATTTACACATACAAAAAATATCAGATCAATGATCTAAGTATGGGGATAGACTCACAACATGTAAGGACAAATTTTGGATGAAAAAGGAGCATGCGCAATACCGAAAATCAAAGAAAACGAAAATTTTAGTTTTAACTTTAGAAGTGGAGGTAAAATGGAACTTACTACTCATTAAAAAATCCTAATTGTTAATCTGACTTCAATCAACAACACGTGTCAATCACTTAATCTCATGAATAAAAAGAAAACCAACCTAGCAGAGAGTGAAGAGGGCAGCTAGCATAAAATGTGGCATCGCCGTTTGGCACATCTACTAAAAGTTAACACCGTCCAATTTTAAGGACTAATAGTAAGAGTTTCAAAACTGAGGACTAAAAACCATCAAAAGTTTCAAGTAGGGACTAAAACCAAAATTGTGTAATACTTAAGGGACAAAAAATATATTTAACCCAAAAATTAATTTGGTGTTTAAAAAACTATTTTTCTTTTTATTTTTTAAAAGATTTATGTACTTTTTTATTTGAATAAATGATTTTATTTAAATTAGTTGATTTAATGAGTATTAATTAAATCAATTTTCATTTATTTTTAGATTTAAATTTTCTGATTTGGTTAGTTGATTTCTAATTATAAATAGTTTTTTACGTATGCCATGCTAGTTTTTTTTTTTTATTTTTGTTTACATATATAATTAAACTAAATCCTCACTTACTAAATAGTAATAATTATTTTTCTTTATAAAATTAAAGTTACATAAAAATAGGCAAAAAAAATTAAATAATAAATAAATACATTATAATATAAAGAATAATGAAAATAAATATTTATACACTAAAAGCATTTGAAATAAATTATTTTAATATATGTCTTATACGTAAGATTGTTGGTCAAAGTAAACTAATTAGATTATAATACGAACTTAGTTACTCCAGTTTATATTATCTAAATCTAATCAGTCAATTAGTAACATATTCCTGTTTTAAATACATGTCTTATAAGTAAGATTGTTGGTCAAAGTAAACATTCTCTTGAAAATATTTTATCCAAAATCATCCGTTTGTAGATGATATTATCTAATTTTTTTTTTCAAATCACCATTATGTATTTTCATTAATGAGTATTAAATTATTATGTAATTTTATAGAATGCAAAATGTTTATGATTATTTAGTTTTCCAAACGTAGAATTTTAAGATTTAAAAAAACTAAGTTTTAATTATTTTGATTTTTTTTATTTTAATTAGGTACTATATTTTTATTTTTAATTTTTAATTTAAATTAATGGTTGAATACAGTGAAAAACTATGTATAGATTAATCTTTCTTATGTTGAATATTAATATATCTAACATTCTCCTCAAGTGACACAATATTTAGGAGGACGAAATGCCACCTCAGAAGACTTTCACTTAGAGACAAATCTGGAAGGTTATTCCATGTAAATCTCTTCTTGTAAATCATCGTTGAGGAATGCATGGTTGACATCCAGTGGATAAAGATGTCATTGTTGAAGAGTCACCACAACTATAAATAAACTAACAAAAATCCTTTTTGTCACAAGACAAAAAACATATATGGACGACTCAAAGGCAATGGTAACAAAATGGAGGTCAAAAGAGACATCGGAAGAATTCATAGATGAACAGAAAGAAAGATTTTCCAATCAAGACACCTAGAAAAGGAAAAAGAGCAACATTGATACTCTGAATAGCGGCTTGAGAGAAGATGAGATGTACGACCACATACATCAAACTTGAAAGAGGAAAAAGAGCGACCCTCTAAATCGCTGCCTAAGAGGAGACAAGATGTGTCATACGCAGAACGGAAAAGGAGCATATCTAAAACTATAAAAGGCACTAAGAGCGTGTAAAAGCTTGGATGAAGGCATAACGCTGCCCACAGCGATAGATAGATGGCGCCAGTGTAGTGGTAGAGACAACAAAAGTTTTTTTTCCTCAAAATAACCTGGCTTTGATACCATGTTGAATACAGTGAAAAACTACGTATAGATTAATCTCCTTGTGTTAAGTCCTTTATTTATAATAGAAGAAATATGAAGGTTTAAACCCTCATTTGGCCCTCGTATTTGTGTGTCAATCTCAAGTGGGTCATCGTTTTTTTTTCGGTCTCAATCGAGTCCATAAACTTGTAAAAATGAGCCAATTAAGCCCTCTCCGTTAAGTTTTCGCTGACGCCGTTTACAGTTGTTGACATGGTGCCCACTTAATATGTTGATGTGTCCTGTTTGATTACATAGAATTTTTATTTAAAATAAAAGATTATGAAATGGGAAAATTTAATTGGTTAATGTTAAAATTATAGGGTTTCCTCTTTTTAATTGGGGTTTCGAATCTATGTGCAAGTTTTGAATGGAGGTGCATGTTGTCATGGTTGCGTGAGATTAATGATGGAGGGCGTGATTGAGAAGATGTTCGCGATCTAGTTCTCTCTGCAGATGCGTGTTTACGGTGATGTGCAAAGATGGTGTTCAGACATGGTGGAGATCGCGAGTAGGGTGGTCTCTACAGCGATGACTTCTACTCCAATTGGGTTTTTAGATCTCCGTATTTCTCTTGTAGGTTAAAGGCTTGTGTGCGGAGGAAAGATAGCATTGTAGTAGCAGAAGGGTTTCAGTGAATTCTTTACCAATATCTGGGAGGACCTCCCCAAACTCTGAGGATGAAAATTCCAACATTAAAAGCTCCCATAACTCAACATTAATATCAATAACTCAACATTAATATTCAAATTCTTATCTATGTGGCTTTTGGGTGTACAAGAAAAGTGGCAATTCCTCCCTAGGAACAACTTTCTTTGCCTCAACCTAGCGATAGAAGAAACAGTATTGAAGATGACCCAATATTAGAAAATAAAAAAGCGTTGAAGATCTATAATCCTTGTTCTCTAACAAACTACAATTGGTATGGACAAAACTTGGATAAAGTTTTCCAAGTGTTAAACACAACATAAGTCCAGTATCTAAACCACAAGTTTAATTTGACAGTTAAACTTTTGTCAATCCATGATTGTAATTTTTTATTATCAATTTATCAACCCAGTTCATACCTTACTGTCAATACTTAATTGTAATATCAGTTTTTGAAAGCTCCCTATTTTATCCTACAAACAATCAATATATGAAAAGTTACCAACGAGTCAAAAGAATTATATACGAGCTTGTATATCATGCGCAAGAGCAATGGCTAGCTAAAGCACTTTCTATAATGTCACAACTCACAAAAATCTATCCACAGGAATGGCTAGCTTAATCATGATCTGCTTATTAATTTAAGCCAAATAAAAATGAGGCATATATGCCAAATGAAATGAATGTGGTAACTGGTATATCAGTATTTTTTTCTATGAACAATATATACGATCAGAACTCTTAAAATTACAACTTAGAGAAACCAGTATATGCCCAACATAATTGCAATTAACACAGCAAACTATAAATTCAAATTAATTGAACTTGCAGTATATCCCTTAAAGTGGCAAGGAATTTTGACTAGTTTTGGCTTCTGAAATCTCCATGTACATATGCTTTTGCACTTGCAGTATTTCTGTTCTGCAGCTTCTATCAATGTTTGGTTGTACCCATCAGCTCAATTTTGATTAGAATGTATGATTGAATTGATCAACAAGGAAGAAGAAAAAATGGGGTCAGTTCAGGATTCTCAAGTGTTGATTCCTTATTGGGAGACAAAGCAAATACACCAAGCAAAAAAAGGAAAGGGAAAATCCCCAAAATCTCACTCCGTCTTTCCTTTCGAACCTCTTCTCCCACTGCTTCAAAACGATACTGTTGTCACCGGCGGTGAGCTTGGCGGCGACCAGTGGCGCCCTGGCTCGTGGCTCACGGCAGCCGGCCTTGCTCAAGAGGCGATTGATGGAGCAATGAGAGAGATCCTCTCTCACGCGTGAAGAGAAGAAGGAGAAGGAATGGTTTATTATACAACAGAACACTCATTCAATTTAATACACACTCCCACGTCAACTAAAAAAATTACAGTTCAGCATCTGTAGACGGCGTCAATGAAAACTTAACGGAGAGGGCTTAATTGGCTCATTTTTACAAGTTTATGAACCCGATTGAGACCGGAAAAAAAAAATGATGACCCACTTGAGATTGACACACAAATACAAGGACCAAATGAGGGTTTAAACCAAATATGAAATAAGTCCAAAATACAAATAAGAAATAATAACAAAATAAATAAAAATAAAAGATATAAAAAGGATAAGATAATATATCTAACATAAATAATTCAAAAGTTTAATCAATTCTTTATTTAAATTATAAATTTAGATAAATTATTTAAAAAAATTATTCAAATGATTTTATCTCATAACAAATCATATTCTAAATATAAAATGCAGGTTAAGAAAAGAAATACGAAAGGTTTGTTAAAAAAAGATATTTTCTATGATTACAATTTTTTTAATTATTTTTAAATATATTGAGAGAAATAAATTCTTTAGTTAACAGTTTGCTATTTATAAGTTCATATTTAAATTTATTTTCCTTTTTGCGAATAATAAAAACAATTGAAATAAAAAAACTAGAATTGAAACCTAATGAAAGTTAAATAAAAGAGTAGAATGATAGTGATAGGAGATCTCTGATAAAAGAATTCAAAAAAAAAATGAAATTTGAGCGGAATTTTATAAAGAGAAGGAAATTTTGAAGCAACAACAGAAGACTAAAATGGGAAGAGATTTTGGCTTCTCACCGGAAGTGAGAAAAAGTTTTTTACTTTTACTTTTAAAAAACTAATTTGAAGTTGACGCCTCAAAATAGGTTTATTTTCTCTTTTAGATATTTGAAACAATGTCTTTTCTAAACTTCTTTTTGAGAAAACATAAGAGAACGTCATATGTTAAAAAAAAAGGGTGTTATTTGTGTTTTCTAATTTGTTACATTTATGTGTGTTTCAAAAAGTTGTTATTTATGCTTGCTATAATTTGTTATATTCATAGATGTAAAAGATTTGATAACAGACCAAAGTGATCAACACAACTCATATAAACTTAGTTATTTTTTGGTTTTTGTTTTAATGGTATCTTCTATGTTTTTTTATTTGCTCATTTTACTACAACTTTGTTACGTGTTAATAATTAATATTTTGTTAGGTTTTACTTAGAGGAAAACGAAACACATTAGGTTTTTTAAAAATAATGTTTTAAAAACGAAAAAAAAAAACTATTAGATCTATCATTCAATTTTTTATGGTAATGTAATATTTTTTTATTTAAATAAAGAATATTTTTAAATGTAAAAACAAATTTTTAATTATATTAATTTTGTTGGTATTTTATATGTGATACAATTAGATGCAACATTGGATTTCTTCTTTAAAATTTTTGTTTATTTAGTTTTTTTAAGCAAGATTTACTTGGATCTATGAACTTTTGAATGCAAATATATATATATATATTTGTACAGACACTCTTGATTATTAGTGCTCCAATTTGCATTGCTTTCCCATCCTTCCTTCTTTCTCCAAGTTTTCTTCTTCAATTTTATCACACTATTTGGTATTTTCCAATCTTACATTCATATTCATGTTTGTTGCTATTTCAATAGCAAACTCATTCTATGATAATGTCATGGTGTAACCAATTTTGTACTATATTGTCATCAAAATATATTTTTGAACCTAAACTATTTGTACTTTGTATTAGGTTATGCAGATGTTAGTGGCGAAGAAGGAAGAGTCAATAGACAAAATCAGTGACTTACCTTTAAGCATTATGTTCCACATAATGGAATCCATGGACGCAAGGTATGCAGTGCAGACTTGTGTCTTGTCAAAACAATGGAAAGAACTTTGGAAGCGTATGGCTAGTTTTTCTATTAAGTCCAACTTTAGAAGAGTCATTGATTTTAACAACTTTGTGTCTCAATTTCTTTCTAGTCGAGATGGTTCAATTTCTTTCTCCAGAGTTGATATTGTTCTACACCGTTCCTCTCAGGTCAAGAAGCTGAACAGGATCATCACATATGCTGCATTGCATCATGTTCAGCAGATGGCACTGCATTTTTGTTTCTACATGTTAGATTCTAAATTTCCTTCCTTCAACCTCCCATGTTCATCTTTGGTTTATCTTCATCTTACCCATAAGCACTTTTGTCATCCTGTGTTGAAATTTCCAAACTCTCTCCTTTTGCCAGCTTTAAAAGTGTTGCACCTTGAAAATCTTTGTTTCAGTGCAAGTTATGGTGATTATGCTGAACCCTTTTCATGTTATAACTTGCTGCATACTTTGATCCTGAAAGATTGTTCTTTATTTGATACCGAAGAACTGTTGATATCTAATTCTAATCTTTCCACTCTGAGTCTTCACCATATGAACAGAAAACCTTACAAATTTTTTCTTTCCACTCCAATTCTTAGTTTTCTAACTATGACTGGTCAAAGCTATTTCTGCAATCTTTCAGCAGAAAATATTAAAGTTGGATCTTGGTTGAAGCAGTTTTCTAATGTAAAAGAACTAACTCTCCCTGATGCTGCAGTTACATTTATTTTAGAGGTGTTACATTTGTTTATGTTTTTTTGGTTCTAATAATGCTTCTAGATATCCATTGTAATATGAATTCAATGTATGATTTGTAGGTTCTGTCAAAGCATAATTTAGTGGAAACTCAAATTGCTTTTTTTCCAAAGTTAGAGTCATTAAAAGTGATAAAGGATAGTGTAACGTCTGATGAAGCTGTAAACACGATGGTACAGTATTTACATAAGAACTCTCCATTAGTTAGAGTTGATGTTATAAACAGATGAATTAGATGTTATATATATGCTTTTAGTTAGTTTTGTGTTTCTTTTTTAATCTAATTTTTTCTCATTAAAATTGATGTTGTATTTTGGAGAATTTGCCTTTCAAGTATTATTTGAACATCTTTTTCAGTTTTTAATTTCATTTTAAAGGATTCTTGTTAGTAAATACGATTTATTAAGTTATATTTTTTTAATATTTTCTTATGAATAAGAGTAAGTGGAAATATTAATTTTTTTATAACCGATAATAACTTGCTGGAGGAGATAATCTATAAGTTTATGTATATATCTAAGGTTGAATGACCTAAAAATTTAGTTTGCAAATGCTTTTTACTTTTTTTTTCTTATAAACTAGTTAATTTTATCAATAAATTTATTTTCAATTTTAATCTATTAAAAGTGAAATACTCATATTATAGAAAATATATTTTTTTGCCACTTACCATCGTTCCAAGATTAACATATACTCGTTCAAAACAAATTTGACAAATTTTAATATAATTTTTTTTAATGTCTTCAAATATGTCTTCTAAGTACTAGGAAAACACATGCAATTTTTTATTGGTGAGTTTTCACAAGAAATTATGTCTTATTTCATATCCAACTTTCTCTAACTCTTTTCATCTCATTTATACCTCTCCTTATAGAACTCAAAATATTTTATGATTATTTAATTTAAATACGTAAAATTTTAAAATTTCAAAATAAAAATAAAAATAAAAATATTAATTATTTTGAATATTCAAAATATTTACACATTTTTTAATTATTATTTTAATAAGAAGTGATAGGCAAACTAACCTCTTCAACAAAATTTGATTAATTTGATATTTACTTATTCTGTTTTTTTTAATTTCACCTTTCAATATTAAACTATAAATTTTGTAAGACCCTTGATTTTTAGCAAAAGATAATTTCTGACATCCTCACCATTAATGCACGCCACATCATTTCTCAGCCAGTAAAACCCACTACCTAATCTGATCCCCTCCCTCTCTGTCGTACACGGAAAAGCCGCGCCCATCATTTCTCTGAAACATTAAAAACGTACCAAACACTGCAATGCACACACGCAACCTGTCGCGGGAGAAGCTTCCCATTTCAGAGTTGGTGTGCAGGTGTCAACTTGGGAGACGTTCGAACGAACGTGAGTTTAACACAACTAGAATTTTTGAAAACTCTCTCTCTCACCTGCATCATTCATCTTCTTCCTCAGAACCCAACCTTTCGTT